CCACCCAAAGCAAGCTATGGTGCGCCACCAGCACCAAGCTACGGCGCGCCTCCGTCTCCACCCAAAGCCAGCTATGGTCCTCCTCCAAAAGCCAGCTATGGTGCGCCACCAGCACAAAGTTATGGCCCACCTCCATCAGCTCCGAAAGCCAGCTATGGTCCTCCTCCATCGCCACCAAAAGCCAGCTATGGCGCTCCTCCTTCGCCCAGCTACGGCGCTCCACCATCACCACCATCTTTGAGCTATGGTGCTCCTCCATCGCCTAGCTATGGTGCGCCGCCATCACCTCCAGCTTCCAGCTACGGCGCCCCACCATCCCCGCCTAAAGCCAGTTACGGTGCACCACCAGCACCGCCATCATCTAGTTATGGCGCTCCACCATCCACCAGCTATGGTGCACCAGCGCCACCATCCAACTCGTATTTACCGCCATCTACATCTAACTCAAAGCCATTTGCTCCTTCAAAACCAGCACCCCCCTCAACATCGTATGGCGTTCCAACCGGATATAGTGCACCATCGCCGCCTGCGTCTTCTTATGGTGCGCCGCCTTCTGCGCCTTCATCTTCATACGACGCTCCGGCCCCAGCATCTTCCTACGATGCGCCTGCGCCGCCTGCCACCAGTTACGGTGCTCCTAGCAATGGCGGCAACGGCGGATATAATGGCAATGGAGGCAATGGAGGCAATGGTGGCTACAACGGCAATGGTAGTAATGGTGGCAACGGCGGCTATAATGGCAATGGTGGTAATGGTGGCAATGGCGGTAAAGGTGGCAACGGCGGCTATAACGGCAATGGCGGTAATGGTGACAATGGTGGTGGATATCCGGCTGCTGGACCACCATCATCCTACAGCGCTCCGATGTCTGTGCCAGAAACAATTCCTCAAGGCTACTCCTCCGATGGTGGATACAAGTACCGAAAATAGACTAGTGCATGTTAGAGCAGCCCCGCGAGCAGAGGCAATTTCTAAGTCGTGTGAAATTTTTTGGGATTTCCGAAGAAATTGCAACGTACTATTTTCAATGCTGGAACATTTAGACATCTACCTAAGTATGTTTGGATATCCAGCAGCACTTTCAATCTTTGTCTCAGCTTCAAGTGCATTTCAATTTTAAATTTTTAAGTTTATATGGGTGCCTACAAAAGAACTCAGAGTTGCCATTTCTTCGCCTCTAATGAAGTTAAACATACTACATAACCATATTTGTCACAAAATGCTCATATAAACAAAATCGATTGTAAATTAGTTTCTATTTATGTATGTAAGTACGTAAGCGTTGTCAGATCTTCATATGTATGGCTTTCTTGTCGCAATTTCATGTTACTTTGTACCTAAAATATGTGTGTAATATTTTATATCTCTTCCAATTATTTAAGTCCTTGATATTTTTAAAATATATTGTTAACGAAAATTTAATACTTTTAGTGTTTTTTTTTTCGTTTGATAGGTTCGAAGGTACATTCTTTTGCAACCGAGCTACAAAAGAACACTCGCTAAAATGACGAAATACACTCAAAGTAACAACATATTTATCCGAGTTCAGCCAGGTCGGTTAAAAACTATGCGACCTGATGGGTAATGTTGTTAAGTGGAAAAAAGTGCTCTATTATGAATTTTTAATGGGAAAGTGGGTAGGGAAATTTTTGTTTCGGTTTTTGTATCTAAATCCCATTAAACATGTTACATGTTTCTTGCCAGATACCAACAGAATTGCTTAAATAGCTAAAACGAAATTTTACCCGAGTTGAGCGTTCTTTTGTCGCTCGTTCACAAAAAAAAATGCATTTCATATTGCGAAATGATTAAGGACAGCAGTTATTTTTTACATGGTATCCGGAATCCGGTTATCCGGCACATTCCTATTAAAAATTATTTGGACGAGTATCTTTTTTAAGGTAGTGAAATGCAAATAAAACATTTCCATAGTGGAATTGTATTAGGGGAATTCACGATTTTTAGAATTTTAGATGTAATTAGAAGTTTGATAAAGATAACGATAATTATTAAGACGGTAAGTATTTAAATAAAAAACAAAATATAAAACGTACATATATTATGTGAACTTCCGCATATATTATGTGAGCATCCGCAATTTTGAATTTTGAAAATGTAATATTAATTTCGTAATAAGTGGTCTTTAAAACCCCTAAATACTAAGTTTCATTGAAATCTGTCAAATGCATATGAAGCGATTCGTCCCAGTGTGCGATATGAGAAATATAAAACGGATTTGAAAACGAATGCGGGTCTATATTACCTTTTTTATAACGACGCATAAAGCGCTTTGACCAAAACCTATGCATAAACCATATTTCAATACGCTCCGAAATTGAAAAGTGTATTGACTCGAGTTTGTTTTCAAATCGGTGTTTTATTTCTCACATCAGTTAGAAAACGGTTATAAGAGAATAATTCATTTAACAAGAGATCATAATTGGCTGGTTTTCTTTATACAGCCTGTTTTTAATTGAAATTATTATTATAATAATTTAACAACGATTTTTTTGTAGTCCCACGAATGGTACAATACAGCGAACTTATATTGAAAAATTTTAACCAATTATTTTTCGTGATTGGGATGAACAAAAAATATTTGTGCATTCCCACGCTTGGTATACGATTTGCACCAAATTTGGGCAAATGCCCAATCGTGTGATCTTTAGGCCAGGAAATAACGAAACTGTTTGTAGTTTATGGCAATTTTCAAAATATTCAAATATTGGCTGTTTTAGGCGGATCATCACCGGTTGTAAGCGCCGTTGGGCTTTCTATTTCGCCGTTGGAAACTGGTTGCTCCATTTTATTGCAGTACGTATATTCAGATACAGGATAACTAACACCAATCGATCGAATTATTACTTTTTCGGTCACAAATTTATGAGTAATCTGCAATGTTTTCCCCGTGCCACGCGGTGCTCGGGAACACTTCGACAAGTTTTCGATATCAGCTGTGAAATGACAGCACAAAAGAAAGCAGTAATTAGAAATGGAACGACACATAAACCAACGACTACAGATTACCTAATCAGCCATCGTTGTATTTGTAATCGATTTTCAGAAAAAAGTTTTCGTACCGTTTTTGACGTTTTTCGGTTTTTACACCGTCTTCTACCGCTTCGACATGGTGTAATGAACTGGTATTCTATCGTTCTTGCCGCTTCGTAGTGATTTTTTTGCGATTGAATGTGTTTTCTGCAGCGATTTTAAGTGAAGTGTTTCGAAGTGACTTGGGTGGAAAAGTTAAGTGATTATCGAAGTGACCATGAACGAAATTTTTGGTTCATGGAAGTGGCGATTTTCCGGTAAAAAACATTTGCGGAAAGAAAAATTTTTGTAGAACTCTCTTATTCATAGGAGGGAACCGAAAATCCAATCGTGGGCCTTAGGCATATCATGAATACGAACTGAGTTCAAGAGGATGTTCGGTGCAATGTTATCGAAGCAGAACCATTACCGAAATTTATAAATTTTTTGTTAGCTATCAGTCATTATGTTAAGTTGTCTACTTAAAAATTTAATTTACAAGATTACTTATGTAAGAATTCAAAAAACCAATCTAGAATTTCAAACAGATTAGGAATTACAAAATTTACATGATATTAATGACTGGACATAAGATATCTTTCCAATTCTAATGTAGTTGCTCTAGTATTGGTAAAGTCTATATCTGAAAAATTTGAAAAATAATTGAAGTCTGATAAGGTTATGTTTATTGGCGCGTTTGCACCATACACCATTCTGCTTAGCCCAACCCGCGGTGCGGCACGGTGTGGTATAATCCCGTACGATATGCGGTATCAAATACCATGGCGGTATATGGGAGCACTCAAACAGACGCGGTATTGGAAGTGCGGTGCACCGCGGAACAGAACTCTACCGCAGCATGCAGCGTTCACCGCGCGGTATAAGAAGATATATCGTAAGCAGAGTTGCAATTTAGAGCTAGAGTTCTACCACATATTTTATCTACAAAAGTGCTATAGATTATAAATTCTACCTTTTTCATTATAAAAAACGTGAGTTTAAAAGTGCTCGTAATACATTTGTTGGCATAAATGTGATATTCTTTGGTTTTGTTTCTCACAAAGTAAATAAAATAAAGTTGAACTTTTTCGTTTGTTTGAAAAATGTTTTTCAAATCTGGCAATGTTGCTCAGAAATATGAACGGTAAATTTACTGGAATTTAAAATTCTTTCGCAAAACGTACATAATGGAGCGCAAATATGGAAATATTTATAAAATCTTTCTTCGTGGTTACGCAGTTGGGGCATCAGGCTTGGAAATTCACCACCTTCTTTTCTTCTGAAATTTATTTGGTGAACCCATCTTCTTTTTCTTAAACATATACACATACAACATATACATGTACATAATTGTATGTATATTTCGAAAAGAGGATTTCAATTTAAACTATCACTGAAGTCATAATTAACCCATAAACTACCACATGCCTAGGTTATGCAATACTTGAGAGGCAAAAAGCATAAGATGAATAAATTTAATTGTAACAACTAAAACTCATACGCAACTGTCGCATACAAATACGTATACATATATGCATATAAATATAGAATATAGAATATATGGGGCGTTCCATACTAACACGGACGGGTTTCACACTTCATGTGTTTGATTTGTTTCACATTTTTAGGGTTGATGCATAAACATAATAATAAATAAATATGAAATTTGAGCTTGTTTAATACCTTTTTAAAAACTTTACAACACAAAACAAAAAAAATCGATTTAATAGTTTTCCAAATATCTCGAGAACGGGGCGAGGAAAAAATTTAAAAAAATCACACATACACACATGAAAGTTCTCTATGAAAAGAAATTTTTTTTAAATTTTTTTTCTTGAAAAATTTTTCACATACACAATTTTTGATATAAAAACTTATGGCCTTATTCATAAAAAATAAAGTAGATTTTAAGAGCTTTATAAAATGACGTTTTCATACATTTTTCAATTTATAAACCTATTTTAAAGCTACTTTATTTTTTATGAATAAGGCCATTAGTGTTTGAAAATATGCCATCTAAAAAAAGAAAAATTTAAAAAAATCACAATTGTAGCTCTGAGTACTGCGCAATATTTAAGTGTAGTACTATGGGGTGCACTCTACAATAATTTGAGTTATGATTTTTTTCTTTTTACACCGAAGTTGAGTAAAATGAGTACATTACAAATTTACAAATTTTTAAAATTTTTTTTAGAATTTTTTTGGGTATGCAGTTTTGTATCCCATTAAATTTTAGCAAGTTTTAAGCGATTGCAAAACGTTTTTTTCTTTGAAAACGATTTTGCGCGTTTTCTTCCATAAGAAAAAAGTGCAAAAAGCCGCCAGCCTAAAAAATAAAATTATAGTTAAAAAAACTAAAACCTCCCGATTATAATTGCCATTCGTACTGTCATCAGGTATGTAACTTGAGAACTGCATCTTTTAGGCGCATCAATATTACATAGTTACATCCCGAGCTAATAAAAGGAAGGTAATACATATTAAAAAACAACGCAATTTTGCAGTAGCCTTAAACTTACACTTTATTTTAATGGGCTACAAAACAGCATACTCAACAAGATTTAAAAAAAAAATTGTAAATTTGTAAATTTGTTATATACTCATTTTAATCAACCTCATATTCATAACTCAAATTATTGTAGACTGCACCCCATAATACTATACTTACTAGCTACCATTGTGACTTTTTTCAAAAACTATTTTTTTTATAAAAAATGGTATGTGAAAAGTTTTTCAAGGAAATAAAAATTTGCATATATTTTTTCATAGAGAATGTCGATGTGTGTAAATATATGTGATTTTTTTCAAATTTTTTCCCCGCCCCGTTCTCGAGATATTTGGAAAACTATTAAATCGATTTACTTTTGTTTTTGTGTTGTAAAATTTTTAAAAATGTATTAATCAAGCTCAAAATTTCATATTTATTTATTATTTATGTTTATGCATTAACCCTAAAAATTTGAAACAAATCAAACACATGCAGTGTGAACCCCATCCGTTTTGGTATGGAACACCCCGTATATATAAACACATTTGTGCCTAAACACATGCAGGTTGACAACTTTGAAACAATGGCATAAATTCCAATACCTTTGACATAAATTTCCCATCACCAAAATCAGATTGCAGGAAGATGCAGTAACAAAGTCAGCGCACTGCAAGAAAATAATATATAAATCCCACGGAGACCATGGGAATCAGTGTCAAATGCAATTAACTATATACA